TTATACCCCTAAAATTATAGAATATTCATATAAAGTCCTTTAGTTTAAAATTATTGCCTAGATAGTCTTACTCAAAATATGATTTCATATTTTTCACCATTCTGCTCTTCGCTACCTATCCATGTGGAGAGAAGTAAAGTAGTAGATATAGTTCCCTTTTCTAAGTGTGGTTTATTTTCTACAGTATTTTCTGTTTTCCAATTTTCACCCTGAAGAGCTATCCTCCAAGAAACCCAGTAATCCGCTAACACAGGTTGTTCTTGTGAAATTCAGAGCTTCTTACTAAGTTTGTGTTTCAATTTGCACAGGATGGGAGCTTAACAAGTGCATGCAAACTGGCTAGTGAGAGCCAATTTGTGCTCTTCTTTCTCCAACCCCTCATTCAATAATGTCATGTTGGTAACTTGAAATCAAGCATGAGGGGAGTATTTGTCCTATGGAAATCCTCAAATACTTCAATTGGGACTTTTTTCTACGCAGGGATCTAGCTTACTAGCACACCACTCAACTTTTTCCAGATTCCTACATAAAATTAATGCATAGACAGGGCTGAGACCTACTATAAAGAAAAGAATATACTCACCAAATTAATTTTCAAGAGTCTTACATGTCTGCAATTATATATTAGCAGCCTCATTGCCTGGTGCAATATTTTATACCAGCATCCACTTCTAAATATCTATATACTGTACAAGTTACTTTAAAATGACTGAAATTTTTTATGTTAAAAGGCAGTTTGCTAAGTTTTGATTGAAAAGACTAATCATAGAATTGGAATGATGTAATGAACTTAAAAAATAATGCAGTATAAGCTCTTAAGAGTTAAGAAAAAACAATTAAGTTTAGAGAAATTAAGACTCATTTATATCCACTAAACTATACAAATGCAGCACCAGGATTACCATCTATATCTGCTACCTCCCCGCCTAATTTCTACATGGGTTAACAGGATGGATTGTTTAAAAATAGAAAAGAAGAAAAAATAATTCCATTATGACTTCTCAGTTCTAGTCCTAAGGGACCTCTTTGAGTGGTAATAAGGTCTATGACACTAAAAAGAACTAATGCTTTCAAATGAAAATGTCAACATATAGCTGGAGTGAAACAATTAAATAGCCTGCATATTTGCATAACTCATCATTTGAATACACCAAATACTCACTAAAATCATCAGTCATGGAAAGAAAGATTCCAGACTCACAGGAGGCTAAACAATTACCACAGATTAGAGTTACTGCTATCATGGCTCCCTAAGTACATAATCTTACAGACTGAAAACAAATAATCCATTGCCAGTTGGTCTTTTTAACTGTAATGAATTGAAGACAAAAACATTGTACCCAAGCAAGAAGCAACAGGTTTCTTTTCACCGTTCCACAGTATCCCAGCATCCCCACAATGATAAGGAAACAGCAAACAGCAATCATGACAGGATGAACTACAGGAAAGTAAGTCAAGATGACTGCCTCCTCCACTCTGAAAGAAAAAATAACATCAGACTGTAAGAAAGACACAATCAACTTGTTCCCAAGATATAATGCAAAACTTAACCATTATTAAGTTCTTACAAGCTCCATTGTGCTTAGGATTTTACAAAAAGGTATCTCATGTAATCCTTAGCACAGTTCTGAGCAGTATATACTACAGTCTCCATTCAGAGATAAGGACAAGTAATTTGTCCCTTACGATGTTAAGGGCTCAATCCTTGAAATTTAAGAAGAGAATGGGTTTATGAAATTTGGCTTTCACTAGCTGAGGAAAACAAAGGTAAGGGGAAGCTGACAGTGGTTTTCTTAGGGAAAAGGAGCTAGGCTGTTCTTTACACACCAAAATGACACAGCTGAGATGGAGTTAGGAGGACAAGCAGTGTTATTATATCCAGAAATGTCCATAGGAACATACTGCTGCCTGACACCCTCCAGGAATGGTGGCAGACCTTGAAGACAATGCTGGAAAATACAAATGTCTGCAGCAGTGGGCAGGAAAAACTGCTCTAAAGAGCACAAAGGAGCTCCACGCTGTAAACAGCTGAGGACAGAGGTATTTAAAAACCAGGTCTGGGCAGAGGAGGAGGCTTCTGGGCTGCCATATCATCATTCCCAGCTAAGAGGAAGAGGCTTCTGGGCTGCCATAGCAACATTCCAAGCGCACAAGAGGAGGCTTCCAGGCCACCATAGAATGGCTCCCAGCCCAGAGGAGGAGACTTATGGGCCACCACACCACCACTCCCAGCACAGAGGTTAGCTGCATGGGTGCCAGCAGCACACATCCCACAGGGAGCACATATGGGCACCATCCCCCCCACACCCCCAATGAAATGAGAAGACACATACACAAGTCTCAAAACCAGACTTCCAGATCATCTAAAGCAACCCCAAATGGAAACAGGATGGAACAATCTGATACTCAAACACCTGGACTCCCTGAACTGGCAACGAGAGGATCTGGAAAAAAATGAAATCAGAAATAATAACAGAAGAGATTGTGCCCATAGTGAAAGACATGATTAATGAATCCAGAGAGGAAACAGATAAAAAAAATAGAGGAGTTGAGGAACATGATGGAATCCCAACATAGGAAACAAATGGAATCCATAAAACAGATGCAAACAGATTACCAGGAGATTAAAAACTCCGTTAAAAGTCTATGCAGCAGAATGAGTCAATGTGAGGACATAATTTCAGATGTAGACGATAAGATTGCAATTAGTGACCAGGAAAAGAAAAATTGCTTTAAAATAGGAAGGGATCTCCAGAAATCAACTCAACAGTTGCTAGGCAATGCAAAGAAGAATAACATAAGACTGACTGGAGTCAAAAAAGAAACAGGAGAGAGTGCAGATGACATAAAAAAACTGTTCACAGAAGTAATGGCAGAAAACTTCCCAAGCAGGGGAAAAGAACTTGACATACAGATAAGTG